CGAGACCGGGCCTCCTCCCTCCCCCCCCCCCTCCCTCCCCCTCCTCCTCTCTCCTCCTCCTCCTCGGGCCTCGTCGTCCTCCTCTTTACTCTCCTCCTTCCTCCCTGCAAGCTCAATGGCACTACCTCCCACCTACTACCTGGATCCTCGTGCCTGCTGACTCATAATTCGCTCTTGCTACCTCTTCCTCTTTCTGGCATCGCGAGGAGGATCTTACCCTCCCTCTCCCGGCTTTAATTTCTCTGCCGCATCTCCTCGTTTCTCCTCGCCATCGCTACCTGCCCGCCCTGGTCCTCCTCTTGACCTCTTCGATCCTTTGCTCGCACAGGATGCGTGCGACACAAGACGTAACCGCACGCTGCGAGCAAGGGGGACTTTAAAGGATGGGTCATGAGGTCCGAGCTGTAAGTAAGGAACGTCACTCGCTTGTATCAGAGCATCGCAGAGCAGGAGGACGGGATGACTTGAGTTGACTGTATCGTGCTCTAGTGGTTCTTTCTGCTTGGCTCTCAGGAGAGGAGCTACTGGAGATCGGGCCCGCTCGCTGCAGCTCTAGAGCAGGAGAGCACCGGATAGCAGCAGCGCTAGCATGAACAGCGCTCCTCCTCCCCACGGGGCCCTACTCGTATCAGCCTTCGTCCTCGTGTTCCTTGCAGACCCTGGAGGAGCGGTGAACACATGGATGCAAGTTCCCATCCCCGAGTACATCTCCTGCTCCCTCCCGCTCTGCGACCCCCTCTGTGAGAACCTTGAGAGCGTCCTAGGCGAGATCTGCCCTCGAACCGCTTCCACAAACCTTATGCTCTTTGGCGGCATCCCCGGACCAGACGCGTGCTACAAGGAGGTTCAGGGGTGGGTGTCTGGCCCGAAACCCAGCGCGAGTGAGAGGAGGAGAAGAGGGAGGAAGGTGCAGTGACACGTTCCTAGGTGACCCGACGGGCTGTGGCCCCTGCCTGCTGCAGTCGGAGAAGTCAAGGTGTAACGTGAACTCGGGAGCAGGGAGAGGATACAGCGCTGGAGGGCCGATCGCTCGGACAGGTTCTGTTAGAGGAGGAGGAAGAGGAGGAGGAGGAGGAGGAGGAGGAAAGGTTGGGGGGGGGGGGGGAGGGGCCAAGGGGGAAAGAGGAAGAGGTCACTCGAAGAAGTGGCCCCCCTATGATCGTGGATGAAACTCCCCTCCCCTCTGACTACATCGGTGCCACTATTCTCCTCATCTTCCGGGGGGAAGGACATCAACCGAAACCTTCTTTACCTCTTTCTGGTGGTAATTTTATTTAAAACTTGCCCCCGTGTTTCAAATAAAACCAGCCAAACCTATGTACAAGGTCTCCTTTTTTAAGGGGCCCGAAC